ATAATCTGAAAAAATCTGAATATGTGTGGAAAATAGTTAAATTGTATGCAATTTTGGGTTGGGCTTTATTTTATAATATGAATTCAGAGAGGCATTCCGGATGTGTGAGTCAACCCTCGTCGACAAACTCCCGATCTTTACAACGTTGTTGACGAGAGACTTGTGGACGATAAATCCGACACCTCCTTGGGACAGATGGTCGCCCTCCCGGTGATAGAGCAAGTTGCCGGATTCGAGGATTACCGTGTCCTCCCCCTCTCTTCGGACTTCGGATAATCCTATAATATGCCAGCGCAACTTGTCTATCTCTTCTTCCAGCTCCACGATCTTCTCGTCAGTCCTCAGGGATCGTGCGTTGTACGTTGCTAGGTCGACTCGTCTAAGGTGGCAACCGAACCTCCACCGGAGATTCTTAGCACCCCCTGCCCCACCGTTACCATGGTCGCCACCGTAGCCAGGAATAGCGGGGCCGCCGGGGACTGGGGGCCGTCTGTTTGTTGCTTTAATCATTGGGGGGTATTTGCCATAGTTGCCACGCTTGGCGAGCGGGTTGGCAACTATGGCGGCAGTCACTTACCATCAGGTGAGCCGCATGCTCGTTTGCCCCCTCTCTTATAAAAAAAAAAAAAATATAAAAAAAAAAACCGCAGTTTTTTATTGTAATTTTGGCTATTATCAGGAAGATGCTGCTGCCCATCTCCTACCTGTTTCCCTTTGTCGCCTTTTACGACACCCACGGGGAGGATATGGGGTAGTGGATATTCTTGACCGCCACTACACGGCAAAAAATCGAGTACAATTTTAAAACTGCAAAAGGAAATTAAAACATACTGTTGTATTGAGTTAACCTTTATTTTAAACGTTTCTTTATAAATAAAACAAATTTAGCATTAAATATGGACATTATCCACAATTCAATTATGTATATTGTTGTAATGTATGTGGCTTTTGTATTTATTGCAAATTCTCTAAAATTGTTAATCTGAAAAAAATTGACACATGTCTGAATGAACCGATTAAACGTTATAACGTATTTTATAGGCAATAATGCTAAAACTAATTTTGCAAAAAACATATACGGCAAACATTCAAGTATTTGGCGATACTTCAAGTCATTTGTATATATATATAGCGATATAAGATGTGTCGAAACTTTTAAACTTATAAACTTTATCGTATGCTCTTTACCAAATTGTAACACAATTTTTCTTATAGAAGGAAAATATTACTTTCAAATATTGTTCTATGCAATCATTTTAAGCCATAAAGAGTAGAATGAAAGTGTCGCCCGTCCGATTCAGACATTGTCCTTTAATAATAAAATGAGACTAATCTTACAAGTACATCACAGCTATCACCCAACAAAATTTCATGATTGGAAAATCAGTTTTTAAAGCATGAAACCCAATGGATGCCATGCACGATCCAGTTTACCGTCAAGTTTGCAGCGTGCTTGAAGCGATGTCTGGTAAACTTGTATCGACGGTATATGGCTACCAGTGTGCGTGACAAGTCTACTTGAAGCAAAAATTGAATTTCGATTCTGCCGACTTGATCAAGCTTGCAGCGTCATTTAAACTTGAATGTGTGTATGAGCGGTCAAGTATGCATGACGGTAGTCGGAGCAAGCAAGCGAGAGACGCCATGGTTTCAACTGATGCGGCATCATGCAAACTTGACGGCGAACTTGAACGTGAGTGGTCTATATGGATGCACTGCAAACTCGACGCCGCTTCAAGCGCGCTGCAAACTTGACGGTAAACTGGATCGTGTATGGCATCCATAAATGAATAAGCGAGTTCGCTAACGCATCAGGTCGCTGGTCTGGCGATTAAAGGATAACAGTTATTTACTACATACTGTTTAAATAATGTATCTGGAATTAATCTCTTCCATGCACTTGTTGCTATATTATTTCAATATATCTCAAAACTGTACTTATTAATGAACAAAATGCAATTGGAAGTTTTATTATTTCCATTCCCAAACCACTAAGATTGTATATATTATATTATATAGAAATTTTATATATTTGTAAAGATGTGTTCCTAAAAATAGTGCGTAGTGTTTTCAACAAACATTTGACGTGACTCTTGTGCGAATACTCAACATAGAAACTAAAAAATTTGGTAACTCATTTTTAATTGAATTTTATATTGTACAAACTGTACATAAACTTTGGTGGATATATAATATTAACCTAGAATTATTAGAAATAATTAACCAAATAAAAACAACGAAACGTTTGACGTAAATGTCTTTTAACGGCGTCTAGGATAGGGTTTATATAAATAATAACGGTTGCCCCTTTTAATTGATAGCAATACTAAAAATATGTTTGATCGATACTGGTTGTTAGCAATACACAAAAAAATACATGTAGCTTATGTGTTAATGATTAATGTGAGCAGCGAACGATGTTCTTTATGATTAATATTTAAGCAATAATAAACTATAAAAGATATAGATTTGTAGATAATACGTAAACTGAAAGTTGCCAAGATAAAAAAGACAATACAAAAAGCATACAAATAAATATGTAAAACCAAATAAGTAAATATAATTTCGTAACTTTACTGGAATAAAATGCCTAAAGGCGTTAATAAACGTTGATTTGATACTCACAATACATACGTATACATATACAGTCAGACTAAACCATTCAGATATTTTCCATTACAAGAAATTAAAAAAATAAATTATGTCCTCTCAGCCACCCATTATTTTGCTATAATACTGTTCACGAAAGCACAGTACACAATTTCTAAAATTGTTTATAAAAATGTTAGAGGTAAATATTGCTTTTGAGATAAGGTATTGAGTTTAGTAATTTCGAATACAATATACCACATATAAGAGAAATTGACAAACTTATCTCTAATAGAAAATGGGGTGCCATATATAGGTAACAAATACAATAGGGTACGACGCGAAGAAATGTTAGTTATTGTAAAACCACAACAATCGAATGTTTACAAGTACTATAAATTGTTACACATAAGCCACGATCATAATAATATACGTTATATTTGAAATATATGAATATAATTTATTATGCGTCAACATTCAACAAGTATATGAACAATATGCACTCACATCACAAGCTAAATTTTTCAAAAGGCAAAAAGTTTTCATTAACTGAATCCCCGAGCCAAATCTTTAATAAACACATTTATAAAATTCCTTAAACGTAAGTGATGTTTAAGTAACATAGATAGAAAATATTAATAACTTTTTTATATATAGGAAATAAAGTTAGTTAAATCCCCGATTTATTATCGTGATTTAAAGAAATAAATATATTTAGATCAAATTACAATGTTAATTACGACAGAAGACATGCAGGTTATATTTTATACTAAGCTCTTTTGGCTATTTATCTAAGCCATCGTTATTTGCAATTATTATTGTAATGGCATGGTGGACTCAGTTACTACGTTTCGATATCGATAAGAAACGGATACATAATTTATCGATACTATTATTGCACTCCGTAGCACATATCCAATCAATCTATAAACCTAAGGTCGTTTCACTTTATTTAGGCCATCCACTTCCACGGGACCGGATCATAGACTATCAGCAAATAAATAAATTGTATATTATATTTTTAGCTAGGGCACATTCAAGATAAAAATAGCGATTATTTCGTTCTAAATACAACTAAAGATTCTTAGACATTTCAAACACTAAAGATACATTCGCCTGCTCAGTGACTAGTCTGGCGGCGTGTTATCCACATTCGTAACATTTCAACAGCAATAACGGCACTACATCACAAGGGGACGTGAGGATAAGGACAAGACGCTCCCACTTTTATTAAATCTTCGCCTTTGTTTTTATCTTCTTTCTTCTCACTCGTCTGTGAAATAAATATAATTTAAGTTTATAATTTCATATTATTTTTTAATTGCACTCCAAAGGAAAGTTCTGGCATGGTACACTTGATGACAATGTTTCTCTAAACAATATTGCCATAAATAAAATATCTTTATCAGCCCGTAAAAATGTTGGATATGGGTCAACCTCCTTTCTACTACGGGAGAACGGTTGTAGGGAAGATTTGCGTTATTCGTCACGTTTAGCAGACGGATTGACGGTCGCAGTGCCAGGCGTTTTAGACCTTTGACGCTGTACCCCGTCAATAAGCGAATAAAAATCATTATTTTTTGTATTTAGCAAAAGTGATGGATTCTGTTTCTAATAATTTTAAATGAAACAACCACTTTAGCGATTATTGAACCTGTAAAACACTAGCTCATAAATAACGATTAACAAATAAATAAAATGTGATTGATTTAAATTAAATTGTTCAATAAATAAACAGTAAGATAAGTAGGGTATTATGAGGTAATGTAAGTATGAGGATAATAATCTTAAGTGATTAGTGAAAGATAGTGATTTTATGTGTTATATCCTTTTTTAGGGTTCCGTACCTAAATTGTAACCAACGGGACCCTATTACTAAGCCTGCGCTGTCCGTCCGTCTGTCTGTCAACGGACTGCCTCATGATGTATAATAGGTAGACAGTTGAAATATTCACAGTATGTGTATTTCTTAAATAATAAAAATAAAATAAATCCCCTACTAGAAACGTGTTTTTACGATGGTATGGAACCCTTTATGCGCGAGTCCGACTCGTACTTGGCCGGCTTTTTTCTGATTTCGTTTGAAATAAGCTATATATAATCTGCAAATTGTACACATTTACATTCTGCAATGCAAGAGACGGTAATGGGGCAGGTGAAAAACATAACCCTCCTGAGGTATTAGGTAAAACATTGAAGGAGTGGACTAAAAAATTGCAATTTTATTTAAATTTTGTTAATTTCGAGTAAAGAACCGGAATCGGTGCAGGTGTAATATAATGCGGAAGGCGATGAAAGTATAAAAATATTCTGTTTAAATGACAACATGATTAGACAACGAATGAGATGTCGATAAAAGGTATTCATATTTTAATCTTAAAAAGGCAAGTACCCATGAGGCGATATTTGTCTTAGTACTGCGGCTGGTGCAATGGCGGCGAGTCGCGCTCGGGCAGCTTGCGCACCTTCATGGTGCCGTCGGCGCCGCACGAGAACAACCGTCCCGCGTTGTCTGTACAAATGTCACATATTCATTTAAAAAAAATCAATCATATTCGTTTCACGAGTCATCCCACGTGTTCTTTTGACCAATTTCCACCAGGTCAATGACTTCCAAACACTCGGTGGTTATAACTACGTACAACATAATATAGTGCCACAAGTGTATACACTAACCCAGACTCTCGTACTTTTCTATCAGGTGTACGAAGTAACACTTACATGAGAGTATCGGTTGGTATCGGTCATGGGTTTTGAATGTAATGTTAGTCACAGTGACAATAATTGTTACTTAAATAGACTTGAAATCAACACTAATGTGTTTGTGCAAATGTGGGTCCTAGTTGAAATTTGAAACCAGATGACGCAACTTATTGTCAAGTACTCTGACCACTGACACAGAATAATAAAACGCGTTGCTTGACTCTACTATTGACTTGTAAGCTCTTACCAATGTGAATTTGCGTAACGCCTTGTCCAATGTGTTTGAAAAACGAGCTCCGAGCGTGTTCCCCGGCGAAAGTGTACAGTAACTGATGAGTGGCCAAGGAGAACACCTGAATATAAGAAATAACATTTCATTATAAACTTCAAATATATATACATTGTTATTTTGCAATAACCGGCCAAATTTGTGTGAAGAATGTGAAGAAAAGTTAATTAAATTTTTTTTAACGTTCTATCCTTTTTATCTTTAAAATTTAAAATGCGTGGTAATGCATTATTTTAACGGATTTTACTGCGCACGCACACTTTCATAAGGGCCGATCGGAAGCCAAAAACGTTGTTGCCTATAAAGCATATTCAATTTGGGATAAATTGAAATAAAAGTAAAGACCTTACTAACTCGTATTTTCAAAAATTGTAATAACGGTATATCATTATTTATATATATACGTTCAAGTACGTTTAAAATTTGGCTACTCTTTGAAAAATAACCCTGTAATAAATCATTTCCAAGTTAAAAATAATCAAAAACTACTAAATAAGTTTTGTATATTTTACAATAATATAAATAAGCCATGTATGTATTGGGAAATGTGTAATCTGCACATATTACACCATAGATATCTTTAACAAGCGCGCATTTCGCTACCAGCAGCCGTTATCACATTTAGATTGTAATCTAATGCGCGTGTGCATCTGCCTCTACGCCTATCTGCATTCTTTTTGTCGATATAGTCTCTTTTCAACCTCTCCCTTCCTCTCTTTTCACATACACTAGTATTTTCCTTTGTATCTTGGGGATATTATAAATACGTAAATTGCACATGTAAAGTCATTCAGTGGAATCCAATCCAAACAAGAGTGTTTTCATATAGACACAAGCTACATAACTAAAATTTAAATTTTAAAAAACCCTCAAAAAAAAGGAGCTTGTGATCTTCAACGGCTGAACATTCCATTTTAGTCCTCAGGGGTGACATCGCATATGCATTTTGATTCTTAACCGAGGATAAATGTAGATATATGTCTATGGGCCACAGCAACCACTTATCATCAAGTGGACTGTGTGCTCATTTCTCACCCTAATTCTATAAAAAAAGAACAGATTTTCTTGAAATATAACTTAGAACACTCGATTAGGACGAAAAAATTCAAACGAAAAAAACTTAATCAAAATCGGTTTATCCGTTCAGGAGATATCATGCCACAGACACACAGATACACAGACACACAGATACACAGACACACAGATACACACTACAAACATATAACACCGCTCTGTTTTCGTCGGGGGTTAAAAAAGGAAAAAAAAATAGGTTTAAAAAATTAAGAAGTATATAATAAGTACCATATGATAGCTTCTATGTCGGTGCTAAGACATAGTGTAGTATAGAAGAACTAACGCCCCAACTTCAGAAACAATTATGTTGAAAATTTTGGTAGAGCAATGCTGCAGCTATATTATAGTTGTAGGAAAAATGGGTCCGCTTGACCGGGGTAGGACCACGCTCTCACAGTATACCAGCGTAAAATAGCAGCTCAACGCTCCTGTGTTTCGTATGGTGAATGTAGAGAACCCGAGAGTCTTTTTACTGGATATAGGACAGAACTAAGATGGTGATCTTCGACGTATTCCGTGTGGCCTTCTGGCACAAGTATTTTAAATACTTAAAAGGTCTCAACTATAACACTGTATCAATTTACAATGTACTTATTATCCAATAAATATTATTATTATTATTATTCCATTTTTGTCCTCAGGGATGACAACGCATCTGATCAATCATTTTGAACCTTAATCGAGGATAGATGTAGATGTCTACGGAGCATCTACTTGTCATCAGTTGAGCTGTATGCTCGCTTGTAACCCTTATTCTATAAAAATATATATATTTTATTCCTTTTAGTTTTCGAAGTAGGTTTCTTTAAATTATTTATTTAGTTTTGAGTGAACTAAGTAACATCAAAAGCTTAAGATAGTAATTAGAATGTTAATCACTTCTATTTTTCCGTCCTTTGGGGTGGAACTTTTATCGTCAAATTAAAGTGGGATCGCTCTTTAGGTATATGTAGCTATTTTAATAAAAAGAAGTAATACGTAAGAGGGCGAAAGAAGAGAAAAGAGAAGAAAGAGAAAGAAGTCTAGCAACTTACTGTCAGGTGGATTATTGTCGCGCGTATGTTTACAACGCGTATCCTGTCTGTGTGAGTAAAGCGCAGGGGAGCAACGTGGCGATACGTAGCGTAGTGTGTGTAGTAGTAGTAGTAGTAGTAGTGTTCGGACAGCGAGAGTGACGTGTACGTATGTTAATACTGCGTGGCAGCGTACTTCTATGTCGCCGTGAACAATACTGTTCGGGTAGTAGATCTCGTGCAGTAAGAGTGAACCGCACGTATGTTAACAACGCATGCCCAGTACGTGTGAGTAAGATAGCAGAGGGGGCAGTGCGTCGCGGCGTAGCTTGATGTCGCCGTTCGTTACCGTTCGCGTAGTGAGTAGTCCTCGCGCTGTAAAATTGGCTGAGTATGTTCATAACGTGTGCCCTGTGTGCGTTAGCGGGGTAGCGCGGAGCTATGCGTTGTCATGTGGCGGTCCCACACCAGCACGTCGCCGCGCCGCCCGCCGCCCGCACGACACCGCGCGGTGCGCTACACGTCACGTGGCGGTACCTTGATGTCGCCGTCGGCGGCGCCGATCGCGTAGTAGTCCTCGCGCGGCGAGAGCGCGACGCACTTGATGGGCGCGTGGTGCGCGTGCAGCTTGTGGCGCGGCGCGCGCGCGCGCAGGTCCCACACCAGCACGTCGCCGCGCCGCCCGCACGACACCGCGCGGTGCGCTACACGTCACGTGGCGGTACCTTGATGTCGCCGTCGGCGGCGCCGATCGCGTAGTAGTCCTCGCGCGGCGAGAGCGCGACGCACTTGATGGGCGCGTGGTGCGCGTGCAGCTTGTGGCGCGGCGCGCGCGCGCGCAGGTCCCACACCAGCACGTCGCCGCGCCGCCCGCACGACACCGCGCGGTGCGCTACACGTCACGTGGCGGTACCTTGATGTCGCCGTCGGCGGCGCCGATCGCGTAGTAGTCCTCGCGCGGCGAGAGCGCGACGCACTTGATGGGCGCGTGGTGCGCGTGCAGCTTGTGGCGCGGCGCGCGCGCGCGCAGGTCCCACACCAGCACGTCGCCGCGCCGCCCGCACGACACCAGCGCGCCCGCGCACCCCGCCCACGCCACGCACGACGCGCCGCCCTCGTGGCACGTCCACGCTGCAAGCCACAACACCCGTCATTTATCACCACCCTCGTTATTATAGCCGTTTGCGAGACCTGACAGAAGCAACCACCGACTGCCTACATGTCTATCAGGTGGTCACTCTATTCACACAGTCACGCACACTCACACTTACTCACACACTTTTTCACTCATACACTCACACACTCTCACACACGCGCGCGCACTAATTAACGCTTGCACGTACGTACGTTCAACACACACACAACGCTCGTTCGCACACAAGCACGTACTAACACACGCTCGTACGCTCACACGCACGTACACGTATGTACAAACACAAGCTAGTACACACGCAATTACGTACAAACACACGCTCGTACGATGCAAGCACGTACAAACGCACGCTCACATATATGCACACACGTATGTACTAACACACAGGCGCACGCACGCATGTATGTACAAACCCACGCTCGTACGCACGCAAGCACGTGCAAACGCACACTTGCACGCAATCACAATGTGGATATTATATACATGTCTGTATAAATGTATGGACAAATATTTTTGAAAATATTAATACTTACAAACTACAAGTGCCTTTTTGATCGGCATAAGCGTATCCCATATGGCAACATTTTTACTCTCTGAACTATGACCAGCTGAAAACACACAAAAATTTTAAATTATCAATAGTTGCCAACATTATGTAATGGTAGTTATTGAAAAATAAACAAAAAATAGTACCTGTGGCAACTAAACTACAGGAACCGAGGAAAACGAAGTCACTTATTCCTTTACTATGACACTGATGAGTCTAGAAATAATAAGATTATTAAAATACCTTCATTAGGATTGTAGGTGAAAGATATTTCTATACTAAATGTACATAATAAGTTTAAATGCAAATGTACAAAAAATTAGTAAATACAGTTAGTAAATTTCCCATATACACCCTGCTGACTGATGAACAAGGATCTAGCGACTGATTGATGGCGTAAAGTAGACTCAAAACGATGAACCTATATTAAAGAATGTTAATATGCATATTGTCAGTGTAGTGACAGAGTATAAATATCTACTACCTCATATTGTTCCGTGGGTGTCGTAAAATGTCGTAAAACTAAAAACTGCGGTTGCCAAGCAGCTGGCCAAGCGTGACAACAATATAACAAAAATCTTCTTTATAAATCGTTAATAATAATAAACTACTGCTGCCAGGCCAGCTAATTTGTGGCAACTATGGCAATAATTTCCCCACGAGGCAATCTACGCAGAGGCTATGTTAAGCAATGAACATTGATGGACTTGATGCACTAGGTAGTAGGATTCCTTTTCTGCCAAGAGTATCCGTAGAGTTCTTAATTTGAAGTTAGTTGCAGGTGTCCATATTCTGCAGTAGCCACTTCCCAAGCAGCACACAAGCATTATGAACATCAATATACCAGCCCGCATAGAACTTTCTTTTAAATGCGTATGAGAGTGTTGAAAAGAAGTTATATCCTTATAAGAGTGGTTTATGAGTTACAGCTCAAGCTGTATAGTCTGTATTATGGGATCTAAGTAAGCTTAGGGTTCTTAATCAGAATATGAAAACTCTAGTATACAACTTTAAGCATTATGTAACACTTCAATCTGATTTTATCATTAAAGTTGTATAGAAGCTGTTTTTTTGCACGCTGTCCCTTGCTTATACAGCTCTAAGTGTTATTATAGTATCACTAAAATCTTATTTCTGAACGATGGTGTGTGCAAACTATCTTCTAAAACTTATTCTTATGGTGTCTCATTGTACATTTTTGTAAATACAGTAGTTTTATGACTTCTGTCTATGAGAGTGATATAAAACTAAATAAATAAATAACAGCCATAGTACAACTTAAATCTGTATAAGTGACAGAATAACGCCATTTTGCATGCGTTGCGTGGTCAAAATTAATTTGTTATCAATATGTGGAAAAAATCAAAAACACTTGGTGCAGTTAAAAGATCATGTTAAATTTAAACTAAATTTATCCAACACTGTTTCCAAGACTAAAGTTTTTCTACTTTTATAAATATCTCCTCTAAAGAGGAATATACGTTATGTTGAAAAAATTGCTATATAGTGTCAGTAATAAGAATATCCTATCATAGAACTAATTAAAACCCAATCGCTGCATGATATAATGCATAAGATACATAGTACAGCTACTAAGACTTTAAGACTTTCGAAATACCGTTTAGGCTCTTTAGCCAATTGTCGCCATTTTAAGACCCATATAAACAAAATTAAAAATATAAATTTGGGAATATTAGACATTAGTCTTAGCCTATACCATTATTTCAGTTTGACTAATAGATCACTGTGCCGCAATGTCCATTATTTTTTTTTATTCTAACCTATACAACCGATACTTAGTTACCGTATTTAGTATTCTGTCCTTATATTATTTTGTTATTTGCCGGCGCGGCAATTTTTTGTTAGAAAACATATACAAGTTTACCGTAAATCTAATTTGGCAGGTTCAATTCACCAATTATTATCGTCAAACTCAACTCGAATTCGAATATAATATTCATATGTTAAATATATGTACATAGGTACATTAAATGTCGCCATCATTCAATAAATGTTCTTTTTGTTTTATATTCATTTGTAATCCCATTGAAAAACCAATTTAGAACGTTTGTCTTTATAAGTTACTTATAAGACAATATATATAGCGTAATAGTTTCCTTGCACACCAAATAACAGCTTTAATACAGCAGTTATACAGCCTCTTATACTTGAACAGCTACTGTACAGCGCTACTAAAGCATAAAGCTGCATAATTTGTGTCAATATTTTGCTTATAAGAACTGTATACGCGCTTATACAGGTTTTATACAGCCAGAAAATTCAGCTTCTGGTATAAAAACGAACTTTAATACAGCTCGTATACAGCTTGCATGCTGCTTGGGTTATCAGGTGTACTTTTAACTCGTTTCATACTTTAAATTAAAAAAAGAATGTAGCATAACCAATAACCAACAACGCAAACAAACGTCAGTGTGAGAGTGAGTGAGAGGCAAACAAAGAGTGGCGTGACTCACAAAGAAGGGGCGCGGCGAGGCGTGCGGCGTGGTCTGTCCGTGCGCGGCGTGTTGCGGCGCGGGCGGGTGCAGCTGCCACATGGCCAGGTTGCCGTCGGCGTCGGCCGCCGCGAACTTGTTGCCGTAGTCGGAGAAGCGCACGCGCGTCACCTTGGCGAAGGCGCCGGGCGCGCGCGGCGACCACACGCACGACGGGTGCCCCCACTCCCACAGCTGCACCGACCCGTCCGCGCCGCCCGTTAGGTCTGCGTAACATGAATGAGCTCTCACGCTTGTCACATAAGGTACACCCTTATGGCGAACACTACGGATTCCCATTTGGCTAGGTCCTGTTAAACTTCCATATATACGTCACAATACCAATCACCTTTTTAAAATATTTATATTTATGTATTTGACAGCTCGGTATCACAGTGGCTTAGCATTAGATTGCGGGTCGCGGGTTCGAATCCCACAAGAAAAAACATTTCTATAGCCTATAAATAATTGTTCTGAGTCTGAATATTTGTCCGTGGCAATTTTATTCATATAACTAAAATGCTTCCGCAATACAGGAAAAAAATCTTAGCGTGTTTTGTTTTTATAAAATTCTATTATGTCTAAAACATCTCAGAAATGAGGGATGCCTGTGGCCAGATGTGTAACGTATTAAGGCTTTAACACCACATTCACACATGAATTTTAATTATCTCTTATGAACGTCCAAATTTACTACCAGCTGTAAAAGTAGCCTGTACAAGAAACGGCAGGTGCATGTCCTAACACTGAAGTACGTACGTGTCCTAATTTACCCGTATCCAATCAATATATTGCATCTGAAATAAATTCAAAGGTAGACTATAATGAAGTGTCAGGAATCATCAATACAATCTCAAACCAAACAGACCCGAAGATCAACAATGTAGTCTTTTTAAATAAATGCTGTCTCCGGCTTTAAAACCGAAACGTAGTACAAGGTACCCATAACAAGAACCCACACCTTCATTTATACAAATATAGATTTAAAAAAAATTACTTACATAACGGTTGCGTGGGATGCGCAGCCATTCGTTTGATGTTGTCGATCTTATGTTTCAGAACCTGGATGTAAGATAAAGGTTTATATTTAAATTAATCTTAGAAAAATATAGATACGCAAAATAAAAACATAAATATAATGGTTTCATAAACTGAAAGTTTTTAACACTGACAACAAAAATGGCGGGAATGTATGTATTATGCCAACGACCAAACATGAAAAACTGAATAAAACACGCAAGATAAAAACAACAAGTTGCAGCTACGTAGAGATGAGACAAAATAAAACCAACGAGACGAAAAAAATGCACAACAAAAATACACCTATAACAACGATGGACAAATTGATAATAACATAAGAGAAAAATAAACAAGGTCGCTAGGAAGACTGACATAAAATCAAATAAAATTTGAGCGATATGGCGGGCCTTGCGAGTGCAATGGATTAGAGGAGTTAGGTGCTGAAGTTCAGGGGTTGGAATGGGGCGGTGTCACTGACCGGTTTCATGAGGAGTTTGGAGCGATGCAGCACCAGACGACAATATTTCGCGTCGTGGCAACCCGGAAACTGCAGGCCCTTCACCTGTGACCACCACTACGTTACGCGCGCACACACATACAGCAGTACAAAAAATACCTTCCCTCATGTTATCCAAGCTTTTTTACCATGATCATGAATATAGAATATGAAGTCCAATGCACAAAGAATAGGATATAATTATATTAGCAAACAATACTTGTTCATGTAATTTACAATATTAATTTTTGAGAATAGCTTAAACAATTCTTTATAAATTTACAGTACAAATATGAAAAATCACCTATAAAAAATAATCTTTAAAAATTTATTGTTATCATTCGTAAATTCGTCGTTTAAAAAATATCTGATAGTGATGGCCATTCTCATTAACTGTTAATTCAAATAGTTCCGAGAATAGCAGTGGGAAATTTATACAACAAGAAATAAAATTTGCGTTTTATAAGCAACTCGATATTTGTAAACGTATCTTTAACACAAAATAGAAATGTATAATTTTTGCAACGTATAATCTAAGTTTTATTAATAATAAATAATACTAGAAGGGTGGAGTGTAAATTTTATGTAAATTGTATTAGTTCTCATCTTATGTTGACTCTCTAAGCGCCATAATTATTGGCGAAATTATACAAAATTGATCAAAAACAATATTCACAGAAGCGCGAGCAAAGCGCCAGCGACACGCAAACGAGCACGCACTTACACAATACCGACACGACACCAGTTGCCTGGACATTACTCTATGATTGAATAAGAAATCTTCAATCATAGACATAAAATAGCAATTTTCGTACGAGAATTCCAGTCGCACAGATGAAGTTATACGTGAACGTAGATTACTTAGGTATTATAATTGTTTTACTAAAATATATAGTATAAGTAAAACATATATGTACAGTGCAAGCGTACATTTTTGTTAGTAAGCGATTTATTAAGGTCACTATCATTTGCGTCATTTCTTTGCTGTTGGTAAGAGGGTTTAATTTATATTGTTTTGTGACACGTGGATATCATTCTTAAGTTGTTCTGTTCTTGAGGTCAAAGGTTTCACGTAGGCCTCGTGTATGAGCTTGTTGTGTCGGCCATGACACTTGCGGCAACGTTTTTCCGATATGCAATTTTTGCCGTAGTGATCGTAAAGACAATAGAAGCAATATTTCAATTTCTCAATTTCATTTCGCCTTTCCGTTGGTTGTAATTTGAGAAAGTTGGTTGTAATTTTTGCATAGTGGACATCCTGTTTGCGTGATTTTCGGTGCATAATTAGTGACTTGATTTTGATTGCTGGTAAATGATTTAAAATAATGAGGCTTCTTTTGATGAGATGTTGTTTCGGGCTGAGAAGATTTGCAGTAGAGTCTTGTTAGCGTAGGGATGATACGAGTGACGTAAATTTATTTTCCAAAAAATATAAAATATCTGCTAAAGTTGGTAAATCCCTAGGATTCTTTAGTGATTTTATGTAATCTTTGTGAGTCTCAGCATCTAGTTTTTGAGACAAAATATGTACCACCAAAGGATCCCATGAGCTTATGTCTACGCCTAGGTTTTTTATGGCATTTAGGCTTTCATTTACGCTGTCATAAATTTTCTTGATATGTGCTGCTGATTTTTGTTGAGCAATAGGTAAATTTAAAAGAATGTTGATATGAGACCCAAAACTTAATTTGTTATTATTGTATCGATGATTTAACAAATCCCAATAAACTTGATAGTTTTCCGAACTGATATGTAGGCTGTACCATTTCTTCCGGTCCCCCTCTAAGTTTACTTTTTAAAAACTGCATTTTCTGAGCGTTAAACAAGATTCGATTGGTATGAACTGCTTCACAAAACAAATCCTTAAATGATGCCCACTGATGATAATTGTGAACGTAGGAATGCCCATCTGGGGTGTGGACTTTTCTGTGACTTTCAGACCACATCTTTGTATTGATATCTTTCTTTATTTGGTAAAATTTTTGTTCATAGAAGCTGAAGGTTTCTTCGTACGCTCCGTTTGAGCCATCCAATTCCCTATCGAGCACCCAGTGTAAGGCATCGATGGCTGCCCATCGAGACTGGAGAGTACGTAATAAATTTTCGAATTCCCATTTCTCTGATACTAATTCTAAGTTGATATTTGATAGGGTTCATTGAAATACTTTAAAGTTGCTGTTCTGTTTATTCAACATTTCTTCTGTTTTGCTCGATGTTGATCTTGTACTTATCTGTGGCGTGATTTTATTTGTTTTAGAGACAAATGTCGGTGGCTTTAACAGTGGTGTTCCAGGTGTATCCTTTGTCAAAGGCTGATAGTTTCGTATATGCGCTCTAATGTAAAAAAATAAAGGCAAATCGCCAGGTCACGATGGTCTCAGCATCGAGCATTTTATGTATGCACCTACCGCGCGTACTCGCGATGTTCTCTAATTTATGTCTATGTCACTCTTACTTACCTGAGGCTTTAATGCGCACTATTGTGGTACCGATCCTTAAAAATAAGACTGGTGACACATCTGATAAAAATAATTATCGGCCTATCTCACTTGCTACAACAACAGCTAAGTTGCTTGACTGTCTGTTGAATAGCAAACTGGAAAAACATGTGAAGCTGAATGATGCCCAGTTCGGGTTTAGAGCTGGATTATCTACCGAGAGTGCTATTCTGAGCTTGAAACATACTGTAAACTACTATACGAAGAGAAGGACTCCAGTATACGCTTTGCTTCCTTGACCTGTCAAAGGCCTTTGATCGCGTAATTTATGACCGCTTATGGGAGAAGTTGCGGGTGTACCGGTGGAGTACATCTCCCTCTTCAAATTCTGGTATTCAAACCAGAAAAATCAAGTGAGATGGGCCGGTACGCTTTCGAATGAATATAGATTGCAATGTGGTGTAAGACAGGGGGGGGGGGGGGGGGGTTTAAGCTCGCCTCTATTGTTTAATTTGTATGTAAATCAGCTTATTGAGCGACTCAGTAGTACTCGTATCGGCTGTCATATTGATGATATCTGCTTCAATACTATAATCTATGCTGACGACATGGTGCTGCTGAGTCCTTCAATCAATGCACTAAGGACTTTATCGTCAATATGTGAGACATATGCGGAGGCACATGGGCTTAAATATAACGATAACAAAAGCCAACTTCTTGTGTTCAAAGCAGGCAAATATCAGCCCTCCCGTGTGCCTCCAGTAGCCCTCGATGGGGTGCCTCTAAAGCTGGTGGATAGTTTTAAATATTTGGGACACATTGTGACAGCAGACCTCCGGGATGACGAGGACATAGAAAGGGAGCGCAGGGCGTTGACAGTGAGAGCCAATATGCTTGCTCGCAGGTTCACTAGATGTACAGATACAGTTAAAATAACGCTTTTCAAAGCGTTTTGTAAATCATTTTACTCTAGTGCCCTGTGGGTGACATATACGCGTCGAGCTTACAATGCTCTGCGCGTACAGTATAATAACGCTTTCAGGATGTTGTTGCGGCTGCCGTGGCATTGCAGTGCGTCAGGTATGTTTGCGCAAGCGCGTACTGACACTTTTCCAGCGATCATTCGGAAGAAAACAGCCTCACTCTTGCAACGCTTACGAAACAGTAATAACAGCATCCTGAGAGCGATATTTCTAAGATATGACTGTCCCATACAGAATCACTGGGTGGGTATAATCATAGGATTAAAATAATATGTAATTACTTACAATACTAACATAGTTTTAAGTCAATATTGTTACTAACAACTTTACTAACAATATATGGACCATGGTCTGAAATAAAATTATTATTATTGGGGTTATCTATAAAGTTTTCTCATCTGGTTGGGCTGTTTAAATATATAATTATAAACGAAATATATAAACATACATAAATATCAATAAAATAGTATAAATACATAAAAAATACATAAATATATAAAAAAACCCAACCAGATGGAGGCCCTCGGCAGGGGAGACCAAACGGCCGAGGGTTAGGGGGAAAGGGAAAGAAACCGGCAGACGATGCGGGCGGTATCGAGGAGCACCGCCTTCTGCATTTGAGCTAATTAATTATGTATTAATTATATATATGCAAATTATTATTATTATTATTATGTGGTATCTATAAAGTTTTCTCATCTGGTTGGGCAATATAAATAAATAATTGTAATTAAACATGGTAAACGTACATAAATATCAATAAAATAAAATAAATACATAAAAAATACATTAATATATAAAAACCCAACCAGATGGAAGCCCACGGCAGAGGAGACCAAACGGCCGCGGGTTAGGGGGAAAGGGAAAGAAAACGGCGGACGATGCGGGCGGTATCGAGGAGCACCGCCTTCTGCATTTGAGCTTGGAGCGGTCCGTCACGGAGTCCCCGTCAGAAAGTAATTACGGAGGCTGCACACTTCGCGATTATGCATGATAAGCGCGCTTAAAAAGCCGCGCCCACCATGCTTCTGCGGCAAGTACAGCCTCATTACTGACGATCTCGGATGATGCATCCTGTGGGACGTCATTATAGTGCGGACTTTTCTGTCCAGAGCGTCCAGTTCGGTCTGAGTCCACCTGAGTATGCCAAAGGTATACATGAGAACAAGCATGATCCAACCGTTATATGTGTGCGTCTTATTCACACCGGACAAAAGGCTATTAAGCACTTTGGTCAAGCTTGCATAAAACACATCGCAAACTGACCGTTTCATACCCATCTCATCTACACCGATGTTCTGTGACATACCCAGGTATCGGAATGTTTCAGCCTCGGAAAGGGTCCTTATGCTGATGGGCATAGATAAGTCTATGCCCTCAGAGTTAGCAACCCTTCCCCTTTCGACATGGAGGATCGCACACTTATCCGTCCCCTGCTCCATTCTAATAGAATTGCTAAAATCACAAGTGATGTTTAGCAATTCCATAAGATAAGAGCGACTGGAGGCGAATAATTTGAGATCATCCATATAGAAAAGGTGGTTCACTTTTGTACTTCCTCTCCGAAGCTGAAATCCCCTCCCGGAGCCCTCCAGTAAGGTACTGAGAGGGTTCAGAGAGAGGCAGAACCAGATTGGACTCAAACAATCGCCCTGGAAGATACCCCTTCTTATCCTTATGTGGTTCTCCACAGCCGTCATCCGTTCGCCTAGATGACAAAGGATCGTACTCCACTGCCCCATACACTGCCCGAGGAAGTCTCGAACTGTACAGTCAACCTTGTACAGCTCGAGGACCCTATTAAGCCATGTATGAGGCACCGAGTCGAATGCCTTTTTGTAGTCTATCCAATCGGCGGAGAGGTTACGACGGTTGCGTTGAACCACCTTGCCAATGACCCCGTCAATGAGGAGTGGTTTCTTGGTTCCACGACCACCGCCCCGACATCTATTTTGAGCGCGCGACATCACCTGGTTTGAGTTCAGGTGACGAATGATTCTCGCGCTCAAAATGGATGTTAGTGTCTTGTATATGGTAGGTAGACACGTTATGGGGCAGTATTTGCTCGGGTCTGTGGAATCCCGGTCTTTAGGAAATAAATGAGTGATCCCAGTAGTGAAGAGGCTCGGGAGCGACTTTTGGTCGAGAGCCTCTTGAAACTGTCGGGCGAGCACAGCGTGACACACCATAAGCCCCTTCAGCCAGTAGTGATGCAGTCCGTCGAGTCCCGGACTTTTCCAATTCGGGGCCCTACGGACCACCACAGCTACGTCATCCGGCGTTATGATGACGGGGTCCATGGGCGTAACATTCGCACACTGACTCAACACAACTTCCGTCCAAGGGCTCTCGCTGTGTTTTACGGGCTCTGACCACAGGCCGTGCCAGAATGCGATAGTGTCGGCCTGATTCGGTGCTGGGCCCGTTCCACGTACCATTGGTCGCTCCAGTGATTCATAGAGCCTCTTCAGATCACTCCGGAAGAGACGATTCTGGTTGAACCGTGTCGACCTCTCGGTATATCGCCGAATCCGCTTCCCCCAAGCAGCGATTCCCTGCTTCAGGTCGTCTATGCGCTCCGTCAGTTTTTGCGTTATATCCGGCTGGAACAAACTGATATTTGTCCCAGCAAACGCCGTCCTGACGGTGCGCACAATTCTCGACCTATTATTGCCCGACCTGAAGCTTATCAGTCTGCCGATGAGGGCCCTTGCCTTTGCGATACGGTCCTCAATCCTTCTTCTCCAGGCTGGGATGGCGCTATTTTGTCTAGTAGTGCGTCCAGCCGTGGGAACTTTGGCGCCAATAATGCGGCAAACTGCCAGTGCGGCGCCAAAAAGAATTGAGTCCGTCTCGCAAAGGTCCCGGCTGGCTTCTAAATAGGTCACCAGCATTGGGTTGAGAGCCCTCACGACAGCCCGATTCCGCTTGCTTAGGGGCATGCGCGGGAGTCGCGGTCGATTTTCGAGAGGCATACTGCGCGTTTCCAAAATAGCCTCTTCCAATGTACTCCTCATTTGCTCTGGTTCTAGTTCCTGGGCGACTGTTCCATCATCGTCTGAACCAACCATAACTGAAAGATTCACGGCGGTATCCACGTGTGCTGGTTGCTCTGCAACTTGTGGCACCGCAACCTCAGCCGTAGCATTGTCATCCGATGAGGGTACAGCCTCACGTCGTAGCCGTTCGAGTTCGGTGCTATCGAATATGTTTGAGCGCAAGATATACCGAACTCGGTCTGCCAGGTTTTGCTCGGTGACGGTTATAGATGGCTCCAGCTCAGCAAAAAGTCGACGCGTCCTAGCCCGATACGCAAAACCTCCAATTTCTCCCCCTTTCGCCCTAAAATACGCCCGCAATGCGTTGCTGTTCATCTGCATTGACCAACGCATGCGGCGTACTCCACCAGTGGCGGGTGCTGATTGCTGGGCCCGCGAAGACCCTGCCAACACCAAGCCAGCTAGTGGGGATGATGGATGCGAGGGGCTGCTAGGTGGTCGTGCAGCAGCTCGCACTCGGCTGGCGGCCCGCATGCTGTCGCGTCCAGCGCCAGCTCCAGCCAGCTTATTATTATTATTAATGTTGTCAAATCTCTCCTTCAGACTTTCACTTTCATGATCTATTCTTTCTCTGCTTGGTACATCCAAATCCAGTTGTGATAAATGCTTATAATTTTTCTCATACTCCAACCAATAGTTGCCCAGAGTATTTAATCTGCGTTTGATATAATCCGAAGTCATCCTTCTTGAAATTGGTATACAAATTTTAATTGCTGTTGATAGCTGCTGCTGCATAGTGATGACGTCGTTGACAGACATCATGATATAATGCTAAGTAAAATGGAAAGATCTTACTTAATATGACGCTGCTTGCTGATTGTGCTAAGTTGGTTGGCACGTTTTGCTGTAGTGATGGTAACTACTCAATGTAGTACTCACCACCGAGTACTCAAAGGAGTACTCACCACCGGTAGCGAAGCTTCCATACAAGCCGAGAAGCCCGGCTTGCCATATTAATAATATCAACTAATAAAATAACTGGTAAACTGTTTCAAAGCGCTCCTCTGTTCTACACAGGTCGTGACATCGTAGCCTTATTTTGTAACGTCAACACTTAGCAGATTGCTTTCAATTTGAATTACACTGATTCATGTTCTCTGTCTCAAAGCGAACACGCAGTTGAGCGATTAGTCGTCTCTCTCGCACACGTGGGCTTTTTACCGGGCTTTCGAGAAGGCGATCGCTTCCTTCTAACCTCTGGTAAAATGTTCTATAATGAAATATAACTACGATTGTTTATATAGCAATTAGTATGGAGCTCAGAAGCCAGGCTTACAGTGTGAAGTTGTCGAGCGTGGGGGCGTCCGTTTTCAAAGTTCACTTCACAACTTCACATTCTAATGTTTACTCTGTGTGTTTACTTGAGCGAATAGATTTTTAGTGAAAATGGAGGATAATATGTTTCTTGAGATGAAATGAAGTATGTTAAAATGCTAATCGGCGAGGAAAAGGTAAAATCGAAAAAGAGAAAAGGTAAATTTTTATAAAACTGCTAAAAACAGCAAAAACATATGTTCTAGTTTGGAGCCATAGCTTCGCCACTGCTCACCACCATACTCACACTCACCGCTGATACGCTGATGGCGCTCCAAGACTCGCTACGCCCTCGAATCTGCTTGATCCTTGATGCTTGGTTACACCGACGGCCAGAGCTTATTGATAATGATAAGAAGCTGCACACTTATTAGTACAGACCGAAAGGCTATTGCACACGTCACTTATTGCACTATGTCGCAATAGGTCACTGAGCGGCTGCACTTTTTCTGGCCGTTAAAAACCTAATTTTAGGTCCCGCTACGGAGCTCGAAGGACCATAAAGATGTACGGAACATCTTGAAATGATATATGATATAAGAAAAAATGCTTTCTTTTAAATTGATAATGATATTGATACAAAATTGACAATGATATTGATACAAAATTGATTATGATATTGATACAAAATTGATAATGATATAGAACGCGTCCGCCGTGTTCGGAATGTAAACGTGACTGCTTGAAATATAAAGTAAATGACGCAAATAATGTTGACCTAATAAATCGCTTACTAACAAAAATGTACGGTTGCACTGTACATATATATGTAAAACTATTTTATATGGTATAGGTAAAATTTGCAATGTGTTACAAAACGTCAAACGAGTGAGCATAGTTGTTGATGATAAAGAGATTAGAGGTTGATGAGAACAGAGAAATATTTTTAATCAATAACATTAACAAAACTGTACAACCATAATTCTATTACCATTAAAACATATTTAATAATATATTCAGGGACCCTGAATTTATAAAATTATAGAATTACTCAATGAAGCAGTTATGATTTGCATAAACTGGCAATAACCTTATCAGTAGTTTGGTTGGAATTAAAATGTGGGTAAAATAATTTGTAATTCAATGGTTCCCGTTTACTTTCGTCTGCGGTTAAGAGAAAAGAGTGAAATAGATTAAGTCATTTAGTAAAAGAGCCATTAGTTGGTTAATGTTAAACGTGCACGTACTGTAGTGACGTACGCCTCGTGACCTGTTATCTTTGCGACACTTGCCCGCCGCTCCTGCTAAGAAGTTAGGCTAATATAATATATTACAATCATATTATATCGCTGTATCCAGTACGAGATTTTATAATAAAAAAATCATTTTAAATTGACACTTTTTTAATTAACAATCATTTTAAAACTATTTGTAACTTTTAAAGATGTTATAACAAACATTATAAAAAGCCATTACCGCTAAAGTTTTACTTTCGATTTTCTAAAAGTTAGGTATTAAAACAGTCAAAATGAGGATCTGCTTAGAGATAGAACTGATCACATTAGAAGGACAGTGTTACTTTAGCACTGACCAATTATTGAAAAAATACTCCAACGAACAATATAATTAAGTATTGTATTTCACTACCACTGTTAAACCTTTGTAATTTCACATGCAGTATTGTAATAGTCAGTTATAAGTTAAATTTTATTAGAAATGTTAATTGGTTAACACTAATAATACCAAGTGACAAAACATTAATAGAAAGACATTATGAGAGTAAAAATGAAAATGTTTTCGAATATTTCAATTAGTTTTATAAAAAATTGTTGCACTTACGACACTAGCGCCACGTCCCGTTTGACTCGCCATGCCGATTGGTACTTGCGGTGCGTTCGGGTTCAAAGGCGAGCTGTTACCCGTCCCTGGCACAGAACCGCTGTTTGGTCTAGAAATTAGAATAAACATTTACATATGTACATCTTTTTAGGTGGCTTTTTTACTTATGGATGAAAAATGAATATAGACCACCTTTCTTAAATTATAGCACTGATTCAAAGAAAATTAATCGAAGAGGAGTCTATGTATATGTGAATATTACTCTTTTGAGAATTTAGAGTTACCAATGGGTTCTTAATTCTCGTCAATTATCATATGAAACAGTAGCAATGTGCTATTTACGCAGTTATTGTTGTCAACACTAAAATTATTAACTGTCGATTTAAGTCCAAGTGAAAAGGGAATACAATGTGTGGAATAACCAACTAACCTAAAAAAAACTGCATATGAAACTTATCAATTTGTATTTGAGTATGCTTCAATTAAAGTACTACTAACAGTTTTATGTACAGATTTATTGTAGAACTGAGTAACAAAATATTCGCGGCCATATTCTAAGTGAGAATTAGTTTCGAAGTCCGTCAATAAGCATGCAGCGTAGTGAATTCTACTAGAAATGGCAATAGCCAGATTTATATTTAATGACGATTGCACTTTCTCAGCCTTGACATAATTTGTGCTCAAGTTATTAGTTTAGAGAGTCATAATATGCAACCTCTGCGCTACCGAACCTGTCCATAATACTCTCCGCACTATATGAGGTGTGTAACTGGAAATGACTGAGACGTGGTAGAGCCATGTAGCAGATATATTATTGTTTTAGCACAAATGGGTCGGTTTGACGGGGGAAGGACCACGCTCTCACAGAACCAGACCAGCTTAAAATAGCAGCTCAATGGTGCTGTGTTTCGTATTATGAGTGCAGAAAACTGAAGACCCCTTTTCACTAGAAATGAGTCATTCCATCTTAGGCCTCACGGGTGACAACACATCTACATTTTGATTCTTAATTGAGGATAGATCTAGATGTATATGGGCCACAGCATATACGTACCATCAGTGTGGATTGTGTGCTCGTTTGTCGCCCTCGTTCTATAAAAGATCGGTACATTTAGAGGTTGCAATTTTAAAATTCATCAACACGCTATAGAAAATGTTGCACTTTTTCTGCTCCGGCCTGGGACCATTAGTTTGTAATGGCCTCAACTCGCACTGGTCTCGTTCCACTGTCTGATGGGACCGAATGTTGCAGATTGTCCAGCAGCGTACATTGAAGCTAATGCGTGTGCGAGGCCGTACAGAGGGCACGCGGGCACGCGGGCACCGACCTGTCGTGGTGCTGGATGAGCAGGAAGCCGGTGTCGGGCAGCGCGGCGGGATCGGACGCGAGCGCCAGCAGGTCCACCTCGCACTCGTCCTCGGCCCAGCTGGCGCCGCCGCGCAGCAGCAGCGACACGTCCATCTCCTGCACCTCGCGCGCCGTCGCCACCGACAGCAGCCCGCCGCCCAGCTTCACAACACACACACAACAATATTACTCACATTCTCTTCTATATCCTACATACTAGGGCTCATTTTTGCTTAAGTCTATCAGGACAAATACAACCCTTTTTATTATTACCACTAACACCCACGGTTGAGTTCCGGTTTGAATGGTAAGAGGGTCAGTATAGTTACAGACAGATGTATTTTATCTAGGTTCTCTGGGGTGATGAGACCCTTGTAACCTTCTTAATTTGAAATTAGTTGCAGTAGTCATTTAACATTAATTCAACTGTAAATCCGTACGTCATTTCAATTTTATAAAAAAAAAATCTCTTACGAGGCCATTTGTGCTGTCGCGATGATTCCTCTAACCAGAGAGAATCATTATTAACTCAGAAGCACTTTGCATAACATTGTCTGCATTAAAAAAGATGATACTATGGATAATTATGTCCTCCAGATCGAGTTTCGGTTATAGCAGTTAGTCTCAAAGGAAACTAGCTATCTGCGCAGTACAGGATTATGGTGCTCAAGTGTGTGCGCAAGCACAGATGCACTCTCTATTTATTTCCTCACTATCATAGTCCAATAGGACGGTAATCCGATACAAATACCGTGCTTTTCGAGGCACGGGGACAAAATATCATCAGATTGCTGACTCCAGGATGTTACTGAGAATTTTACAGAAAAACCCAATAACCGATTTTGGCGCGACCCGGGCTTCCCATCCAGGACTTCATAATTAGCAACCGCAGATATGATCTACTAGACCAACGAAGCAGTCACAAACACATTCATACTATGACTGTGTATATCTGAGATGTTAACAAATAAATGTGCGTGGTGCTTACTCTGTTGAGGCAGAAGGCGGCGATGGAATCCTGCTCCTTGTGTATGATGCGCACGGGGCTGTGCAGGTCGTCGTCGTGGCGCGGCGGCTGCTGCGGGATGCAACCGGCGCGCGCCTCGCCCCCGCTCTCCGCACCGCCCGCCCCCGCGCCGCCCGCACCTCCCCCGCCCGCACCCGCGCCCGCACCGCCCGCTCCCCCCGCTCCCCCGGCGGACATGGTGCGCCGCCGCGAGAACACCGCTCGAATGAATACCTCCTGCAAGTTGAAAAAACAATTACATGATTTACTATGAGTTTATGGTAATTGGTGACCGTGTAACGAAGGTGTATTAATATCCATTACCCCATATCGGACCGTAGCTGTCGTAAGAGATGACAGAGGAAAACAAAGCGTTGTCTGGAGCATCCTATTAACATTAAACGATAAAAAATGCTGTTGCCAACCCGCCTGCAAGTAAGGCCCTACTTGACAAACATTAGGTATATATGAGTCAATCTATGGAGGAAAACATCTCTATTCTGTAATGAGCTTTGATAAATTGTAACGGTTTGATAACTGATAATAATAGGTACGGTCCACGCTTTCTATGTTGGCCGGGCTGAAGTTGGCTTTCCGAGACATTTACGCATGTACAAACGAAAGTCGATAGAGATGAGCCACTTCATATTCGCTCCTTAGGTAAACAGTTTATTGTGTCTATATAGATTATACTATAAATTGAAAATTATTATTATGATGAAAATGTCTTTATTTATTACAATAAAACTATAGTATCTAATAAAGAATTACGATAAACGGTTTGAATATATAGTAATACGATATTATAGCGGGGAAAACAAATTCTTTCAGTAACCCCAAAATAATATAACTTTGAGATAATTGATAGAATCAGACGTTACTTTGCGGAAATCCATTATAATGGGGTTGTTATAAATTAATTTGCTTAATTCCGCATAAAGAAAGAAAATGTGTCCCGCCTAGTTTTAAGGGGAGCTCCCACCCACCCTCAATCGCGCGCACTATACCCCTCACCGTCAATCCCAGCACTACCATTCCCAGCACCACCACACTAGGCACGACACACCACTCTCGAAAATACGGCACATGTTTCGCCTCTACACGTCGTAGTACGTAAGTCTAGCGCTAAACGAAACGTAGAGGGGACGCGCACGAATTGAATTGCACGAATGCGACTGGAGAGCCAATCAGCACGTGCAAACGATACGCACGAGCCAATCAGCGCGACTTATGAGCAATATACCTATCAGCGCGACTTATGCGCTATAACGCTATAACGGTCACCGGTAGACTTTCGTGCCACTACTTTTACTAGCGACTAACTTCAGCCCGAATAGATAGAAAGAGCGGACTTTACGACTGTGTGTAGGTTTTTAACGGGAAATTGAATGCCGACGTAGGATTATCAGACTATGCGCATAGTTGTATTTATTAATATACTAAAAAGAGATGGTACAAGATTGAGTCAGTGCGGGGTATGCTCTGCTCTCGGCAGAGAGTAGCATATTTTTTGCGTCAGCCATTCGAAACATAATACTACTATTTTACGTAAGCATTCTGTGCCCGCGCGGTTCCTGTGTAGGAACGGACCCATATGTGTTGCAGCCATAATCACACTGCAGTATGGCTACTACCTCGTAAAATGTGTCTATTATATATATAAAATAAATACAACAATTTATTTTATATATATAATACAACAATAAATAGACACATATTTATTTTTTGTTCGTGTCAGACAATGGACCCAATCACAAAGATGTCATAGTCCGTAGTCAACGCATGAATGAACAAAGTTAATATAGATATGCAAATTTGAACAACTCTTTCAAATATTACATATTTTGTTATTAATCTTACCTGAACTTGTTCCTGCCGAACTAAATAACTCCAAAGACGCCTTGCGGGAGCCGCACTGTACAGCGCGGAACTGAAGGGAGTGTTGTGTTTTTCCAGTAAACACCTGTAAAACCGAATGAATATACACAGTCTCAATATATAAACTAATAAAATAAAATATATAAACTCTAAATATACACAGTCATAATTTCTTCTTAGCAGTTAATGCTAATTATTATGATAATGTTCCCTAAGAATTGTCTTGTTGTGTTGACTGGGGTAGGAATTTTTAAATGTGAGGAGGTCGTGTGAACATTACAATTACGACACCCGCGGAGTTTTTTGCACATCTTGAATGAGGCGTATGAACAGAACGTGTCATTTTTTATTTATTTTGTCCTACTTGTCCCACTATTTAACAGCGAGTCAGGGCAACGCCGCCAGGTGCAGTAAATAAGTATAGAAGTATATATCATAAGGAATACAAATTATGAAATATTATAATATATTGTCAACTTTTTCTGCCACCAAGACGGTGTCACTTTGGAATGAGGTGTAATATTCAGATTTCATGGGGGGAAGTTAAATTGTTAGAAAAATACGAAAGATAATGTTTCTTTCTGAAGTATTAATTATATTTTACATTAATTGGACAAAAACTAAGAATTAAAAAGAGAATTACCACAAGTGGTAAAATTAAAATTTTTGTACAATCTACTTCAATATAAATTACTAAGGATAACTCAAAAACTACTTGTCAGACCTTGATCAAATTTATATCCGACCACATAAAAAGCAACAGCTTTCAAAAAAATTATTAAAATCGGTTCACCTAGAAAAAAGTTGAGGTAACACACATAAAAAAATACAGTCGAATTGAGTACCTCCTCCTTTTTGAAGTCAGTTCAAAAATCAAAGAGCGATCACTGATGAATTGTTTTGTGTATGTGGGTACGCAGATTAGAAATCGAATAACTTTTATTTGAAACTCAATTAATCACATACACTATGTAACAAATAACTTTACCGCTATCCCAACTAGTGACATCTGATGAGCTGAAAATAGCCTAATTTTGTAAAAAGTATTTTAATTTTGTTAACTATTAATTTGCACCGCGACAAAGAACCACTCTGCCTCTTTGGTCTAGTAGGCGTTACTGCGGTTGCTGATTATGAGGTCCTGTGTTCGAATCTCGGGTGAACCAGAATCAGTTATTGGGTTTTTCTGTCAAACATTTTCAGTAGCAGTCGGAGTCAGGAAGTTGGCGGTGTTTCATTTTTATGCCTCGAAAAGGACATAAAGCCGTGGTAGGTCCTGCGGCATAAGATCAGGCATATTTCTCCGGTTGAGTCGGATTGCTGTACCATTGGACTATGAGAGTGAGGGAATGGAGAGTGCACCTGTGCTTGCGCATACATACTCGGGTACCATATTCCTGAGCAGATGGCTAATTTCCGTAAGGATTGGCCGCCGTGACCGAAATTCGCTTTCGAGGACATTATTATTATGATATATATAATGGTGGTCCGTGTATCAGCGGTGTAAGAATATTCACTTTCCCATATCGTCCCGTGAGTTTCGTAAGAGGGAAATCGAAACAGATTAAGGGCAACAGCATCTTCCTGATAACAACTCAAAATAATAAGGAGCTGCAGTTGACAACCCGTTAGCCAAGCGTGTCGTCGCTCATAAATATGGCAGAATCCCCCTGTGAGACAGTGTATGGGGGAGGCCTAAGTTCAGTAGTGAACTTCTATAGGCTGTTATGGATAGATAGATGGATGGATGTAGTGGTGGTGGTCTGTGTGGGTTTGTGGTGTGGTGTGAGAGACAAGGACGGCATGCGTGGGGCGCACCTGTACTTGTTGATGGGCGGGCCGGGCGTGTGCTGGTCGGGGAAGCAGCCGGGGATGTAGTCGGGCGGCGGCGCGCGCGCCTCCAGCGCCTCGGCCAGCTGCTGCTGCCACTGCTCCACGCGCCGCAGCGCGCCGTGCACCATGGGGCTGCTGGTCGCCAGCTCTGCGCCACACCACACCTCACTCACACTACTACTGTTGACGCCCAGCGCGCCTGAACATATTGGCTTCGTGCCGCTCGTAAATGTTTATACGCAATATACCGATACGCTTCACAAATAATTTCCTTCACAATTCCAATGTTCAGAATTTAACTATTTATTCAATTCATCCTATTCTAACTTTAGTAAGTTATCCACAGTGTAGATCGTCTTACTCGGTGTTGGAAAATCGGATTTATCTTTATTATCACATCACCTTATTAATGTTTTTTTTTTTTTTTATAAAATAAGGATGACAATAGAGCACACAGTCCACAAGTGGTTGCTATGGCCCATAGACATCTACATCTATCCTCGATTACGAATCAAAATGCAGATGCGTTGTCACCCGTGAAGACTAAGATGGAATACTTCGTTTCGAGTAAATAGGGTCTCCGGTTCTCTACACTCACCACACGAAACAAAGCAGCATTAAGCTGCTATTTTACGCTGGTATTCTGGAAGAGCGTGGTCCTTCCCCGGTCGAGCCGACCCATTCGTGCTACAACTATACTACTAATATAGCTGTAGCATGGCTCAACCACGTGTACTATTGGTTTGTTCATATGAACCTTGTCATTAGCCAGTAATAAGTATCTTTTTCTTTATAGGATATATCTGCTAATATTATGTAAAGTTTGCCACAATTTTCGTGTGTCACTTTAAAAGAAACCGCTTATAATTAAGAAATTAAGTGCGTGTGTAACTGCGTGATAGTATTTATCTATTCTTCCAACTGTCGGAAGTCACAAAGTTTTCCTGGCCATAGTTCCTAAATTGATCGTTACAACACAATGAGGACATACAAAGGTCTATTCTCTTAAGGCGTCATATACATTCACATAATTATCTCCACAAATAGTTACCCGACATCTCGATGCCACACAACTGCAGGAACTGTTGCAATTTGTGTTGCGCAATTTTCAGTATGGCCACTCGCATCACGTACCACGAGTACGAATCGGGATCCGAGTGCTCCGTGTTGGCACCCTTACGTCGTTTTTCGGGTCTAAAAATATTTTATTATAACATCAAAAACTAAAATAAGAGACAAACTTACACTAAAACTTCCTACACTGCTAAATAATACTTTTATTAAAACAATTCATAATAGTTAATAATATATAATACAGTTTTACAGTTATATTAAAATTATTACTGCTTTTATTTAAGTATCAACTACACTAAATTGCACTACATACAACTCGCTACTGAGCAACAGGCCTTTCTTAAGCAGGTTAGTCACACGCGCTGCCGCAGTTGGCAACTTCATTTGGCCTTGAATTAATTTGATTAATTTCTCTGACATGTTTCATCAAGATTATTTTCTTCGCAACCAAGCACGTAAAGCATTAAAAATGGCAATTAATAACTTGCAACAAAACTGGCGGGGATCCAATTTTCGTTGTTTCCTAAGCTTAATACCTTAGAAACAACGAGAACGTAAACCAGCTCTTAGTTTTTATTAGATAATATACTAAAATGCTAATAATTATTACTTATTGGTGTTGGTATCGAAGATGTCGTCATCTTCGGGCTCGCTACTGCTCTCTTCGGCCTCATCACAACCAGACTCTGCAGAGTCATAGTCGTTGTTCTCAGGGTCATGGTCATGCTCGGTGGTTGGCTGAAAATAAAAAATTATAATTCAAAGTTAAAATAATTACGTAAGTAATCTATATGCAGTACCGAAAATTCTTTTTGTAGTAACAACGTAATCAAAGCGAGTAATTTTTACTTTTATTGGTAATTTTAGTAAATAGATGTTAGTGTGATTATAGTAACTAATATGTTTTGTTCTTGTTTCTGTTACAGTTAGGAACTTCTTGTAAGGAAAGTCGTTCTTACAAGATAACGATCAGTGTATCCAGTTAATTAAAAATTGTCGGCATAAAATAGTACAAGCAAGGCGCAATCTGCTGCTGCAATGCCTAAAGTGAAATCTCCCTATAATCGATCGCAATCCGCGCATTCATTTTCTTCGAAATCGAGTTGTACGCGTGGCAATTACTTTGAAAACGAACCAAACGACATCTGTAAGTACAAAAGACTTCTTTAAATAAACCTAGGTATTTAGACAAGGTTTTTGTAACATCTGTTGAACTAATGTCTTGCTTCTTTGGTAATATGTTAATGCATCGATTTTTCATTCTACTCGGTATTTTTATTTACTTCTAACAATATTGTTTTTAATGGACACCATGAAAAGTTAATTACTCGTTTAGAGAACTATATCTATTTTTTCAAATACCTTAGTGAGCAAGAAAGTCAATATACTGCACTGCGGTGGCACGAACTGCTCCCTGTATGTAGGTCGCCCTTCTTGTATGTTCTTATGCGGCGCCGTGGGTCCCATACCGAGGAGACGCATGTGTAAAAGTGCGCGCTTCTCTCGAAGGGACGACCACACCGATGTTCCTTCAGGACGTTCCACTAATTTCGGCTAGAAATAAAATCCATTTTAAAATTATCGTCTTTTCCGAATATGTTAATAGTGTATTGTTTGAAATTTAACTAGAAAGAGCTTAAAATAGTGTTTTAAATTTTGCATTTATCTATTTTGTATACATAAATATACGCGCATTCACATTTAAACCTTACGAACATATTACCCAGTAAAAAATATATAGACATGATCTTTATATTTAGAATTCAAATTTTTTTGAATAGCAGATAACTGAAAACAAGTCCATTTTCCTCATTTTGGTCTGTTATCTTTACTAAAAAGTTTAAGATTTTCATATAATTTTTTTGCCGATGTGGGCAGCTTAATACTGCTGTTTCGTATGATGATTGTAGAGAACTGGAGACGAGTTATTCCATCTGTATTTTGATTCATAAATTAGGATAGATGTAGACTTCTGTGGGCCATATCATCCACTTATCATTAGGTGAACTATGTGCCCGTTTGTCACTATCTTTATATATAAAAAATACGTATCACATTGTTTGTCCGCGATGAACTCTTAAACTACTGAACTGATTTCAATGAAATTTAGCACACTATGTGCAGTAAGGTCCAACTTGAGAGAATTTTTTTATTGCTAATCTCAGGAGTTTTTTTTTAGGAAAGGGCAGAACAACGTCAGCCTGGTCAGATAGTTATTCTATAAATTTGTATTTGTTGCTACGTTACTTTTGACGTATGGCTTACCGATTACTAGAATGTTTTTACTAATCCTTACCTTCTATTCGTTTTTAAGTCGCAGAATAACAGGAGACCGACGTTGTCGTTGTTGAAGTATTATTACATACATACATACATAAACACTCACGCCTGTCACCCAGAGGGGTAGGCAGAGATTATGGACTTCCATTTGGCACGATCCTGACACACCTCTCTCGCTTCCTCCACATCCATAAACCTACGCATACACGCTCGTCGGTTAAAGGTACTCTTGATTTGGCCCATTTTTAATATATCGCCAATTTGGTCGATAAACTTTCGCCTAGGACGACCCTTCCCGACTATGCCGTTCACCTCTGCAACATAAATTTGCTTTGTCACTCTTTCCTCATTCATTCTTTCTACATGGCCAAACCACCGAAGCATTCCTTTCTTAATCCTGGTCACAACATCATCTTGCAAACCACACTCTACTCTTATTAAACAATTTCTCACTCTGTCATTCAGATTCATCCCTAACATACTCCTTAATGACCGCATTTCTACAGCATTTATTCTACTCTCGTGCTTCTTCTGCCACACCCAACTTTCACTACCATACATTAAAGTAGGTACTAACACAGCATTGTGAATTGCCATACATGCCTTTTTGGACACATTCTGACTTTTCACAATAGAGTGTAGAGCCCCATTCACCCTATTTCCTGCATTCACTCGTCGTTCTATATCCTTATCATATCTACCATCCCTGCTAAACACACATCCCAAATATACAAACTCATCTACTTTATCTACCAACTCCCCTTCTATTCTTATTTCACATATCGTTTTACTTTCTTCTCTTTCAAAAACCATAACTTTCGTCTTACTTGCGTTCACTTTCATTCCCTTTTCTTTTAATGTCCTGTTCATTAATGTAACCATCATTTGCAACTCGGCTGCCGACGACGCAAGTATGACTTGATCATCGGCGTACAAAAGGCATTTGACGGTTAACTCACCCATTCTTAACCCGCATTCTTCTACTTTCAAATTTTCCAAACAACTGTCCATAAATAGGTTGAACAACCACGGGGAAGCCACACAGCCCTGTCTGACACCTTTATGGATGCCAAACCAGTCCGAGTAGGCCCCGTTGATCCTGACACAAGCACTAGAGTCCCTATATAGAGACTCCAATGCCTGTATCAGACCAGCGGTCAACCCAAATGAGTTCAGTGTTTGTCATAACACATCCCTGTCCACTCTGTCATAAGCCTTCTCCAAGTCTATGAACGCACAAAAAACTTTTTGGTTTTTGGCCAAAAACTTCTCCGCGATCATGCGCATGGAAAAGACCTGATCCATACATCCCATTCCCTTTCTAAATCCCGCTTAATAAACTTTGATAATTTTTTATACTACACTTAACTAGTCAGTGGTAGGATTCCTTGTTGCTTTAGAGTATGTTTGGGTAGGTTACACTCTCTTACCTATTTCTGCCGACAAATAGCAGTGCGTGCCTGCTGTGTTCCGGTTCAAAGGGTAGAGAGCCAGTATGATTATAGGACGTGTGTCAACTTAGTCTTCGTATGTGACAATGGATCTGTAGCCTTTTTCATTTGAAGTTGCTGCAGGTGTTCATGGGCTGCAGTGGTTACTTACCAGATGTTGCTCTGCAACTAATTGTACTCGCGCAATTAATTGTAACGCTCCGCACTAGGTTGTTTGCTTTTGCAACACAGTCGATGTTAAAAATGTGGCAGCGTGCGCGATATATGCATATTTAATACAGCTAATTATATGTATTTATTTATTCTTTAATGCATTCCTTAATATAAAAGAATACAAAGGGCGGACGACTTAATGACTTGAGGCATTTTCTAGCAGTCAACTTGTGGAGTGATGAGAATTTGACGTAGGTGTAGCAATATAGAATAAAAACAAAATAAATATGATAATTAACTAGGTACGTTATATACATTTTACTAAAATAAATAAACTATTGGAATATCTCCTATTTACACACATTATATATATATATATATATATATATATATATATATATATATATATATATATATATATACATACATTTAAAAAAACATACATATATCCATATCGACATACATATATAAATAGTACATATAAATAACGTCTAACAATATACATACATACATATAATCACGCCTCTTTCCCGTAGGGGTAGGTAGAGACCACTTCTTTCCACTTGCTACTATCTTTACATACTTGTTTCGCTTCGTCCACTTTCATTATTCTCTTCATACATGTTCTACGGTTTAGGGTGCTCTTGACCTGTCCTTATTTCAAGACGTCCCTGATTTAGTCTAGAAACATCCGCCTACGTCTACCCCTTCCAGCACTTTCATTCACACACGCCTTATACACTTTTTTCGTCAATCGTTCTTCATTCATTCTCTCGACATGGCCAAACCATCTCCCTTTCTCAATTTTAACAATATATATGTTTAACAATATAAATGACATGGATGATCATGTAAAGAAGCGGGGTCCTTAATAGATGAATACAATCTAACTTTTTAAAAGAAAACTTATTGGGAGCTTTTCTGATGTCATCGGGCAAGGAGTTCCAAAGGCTTGTAGCCTGAACTGTAAAGAAGTTACCATAATACTCGGTGAAGTGAACAGAATACATATTTTGTTGTTAGAAGAAGAACGTAGAAACCCCTATCATTATGAGGATGATATGAGGAGAGATAGTGAAATTTACTCCTAATATAAGAATGCGAAAATTGGTCATTTAATATCTTCGATCAATTATAGTACTAGATTAAAGATCAGGAACAAAAATAAGTAGCTCAAGTATTCACATTTGCACATATGTAAACATCTCTATTTCTTACTGTGAAATATAGAAGAAAGTTTAATAATATTAATAACTTCAGTTTATTATAAACCTTATTACTCAAACATAAAGTTTAATTATCAATGTAAAATATGTTTATTTAAGTCTTGTCATCGGAGGAAGATGTCGCTTGCAAATAAAAAGTCGCTTGCAAAAAAAAAATGTCCCTTGCAATAAAAAGTACAAGAATTTTTATTCTACAATGAAACTTAATCTCTAAGTAATAAGGTTAAAAACATTATGTTGACAATTTCGTGCTTACTCTATTTTGGAACTAGACGTTACGAATGTTTGTTACAATAATTGGTGCGTTGTAGCAAACATCGGTCAAACAATTGTAATATTAGCTAATTGAATTATATTTACTATTAAATTCTGTTTTATTTTGTGAAAAACACTGAATAATATAAACTTACTGAAAAAAAGATATTTCTTCCAAAATCTTTGTGCTACAATGATTATTTACACAGTTTTTGAAAGTGCACTGCGGCATTTTGGCGTCTTAACGTTGGCTATAATTGGACCGTACTAATTTGAAATAAGATATTTTTTGGGCCGTTTTTGAAGCGCTTAGCGGGAATTTAGTATTATTATTGATCGAAGTTTATTATAGATCAAAGAGCAATTAATATAATTTATATCAATGTTATAAAAAGAAATATACGTCGTCGTCCTCGTCAACGGAGATGGTGGATGACATCTATACATCGCAATAGAACGACGAAAATAGTAACGAGCGCTCTATTTGGACTGCGTTCGCGTGATTATGTAGCCAGCCATTCTTATTGTTCCCATAGTCCTTTGAATTGCGGCCAAATATCGACAAAACAGGGAGCGATGGGCTTGAACGAGGAACATGACGTGTGGCATGACGAGTATTGTTGGCACACCACGTCTCTGCTTCTTTTCCTCGCTACGTCCCATGGCAGTTAACGAGTGTGTGGCGGGGGGTCAGACCTGCTGTGGCGCCGGCGCGGTGGTGAGCAGGCGCCGCACGCCGCCGCCGAACAGCCTGGCGTGCGCGCGCGCGTCGAGCGTGTGCGCGGCGAGGCGGTACAGCAGGTGCGCGTCGCGCGCCGCCAGCGCCCAGCCCAGCAGCGCCAGGAACACGGCGCACAGCGCTCCGCCAGCAGCGCGGCCGCAGCGTACCTGCTGTGGCGCCGGCGCGGTGGTGAGCAGGCGCCGCACGCCGCCGCCGAACAGCCTGGCGTGCGCGCGCGCGTCGAGCGTGTGCGCGGCGAGGCGGTACAGCAGGTGCGCGTCGCGCGCCGCCAGCGCCCAGCCCAGCAGCGCCAGGAACACGGCGCACAGCGCCTCCGCCAGCAGCACGGCCAGCCGCGGCGAGTCCTCCTCCTCGGCCGCGCGCAGCGCCAGCCCGCGCAGCGCCGACACGCCTGCGCCGCACCAACCATGTCACATCTTGCACTCACATACTCGCCTCTTAACACCCAAACATTTCCATATACACTACTAGACGACCTCTGTGTGCCCTTAATGCATTACGCATTGACTTACGCTTAATCCCCTTTAGTCGACTGCGAGCGGGCCGCATTCGCGCGATCCACAGATGTGACGCATTTTTTAATCTAAATTGCCGTAGAAGTATTTGCACCTCTTTTATATTATACCTATAACTCTTACAACGTTTTTTTTTTGGCCCACACGACAACGATAAATCGTCGCCGAATACTTATCTGTACCTTATTTTGTAGGAAGTGGGAGTGGAACAGACTACATGTCTGTTTCACTCCCACTTCCTACAAAATCGTTCTCATGCCTCCTCTACACTACTCGCGAAGTAACTTTGACGAAGTGCTCGTCGAAGTCGATCGCAATCCGAAGAAAGTGAGTACATACTCGTGCTACTTCGCAAAGAGCTCAGTCGTCTTGAATCTCCCGCACCCTTAACATGAAAAACGTAACCTAATTGAGTGAATAGTACGACGTCAATGCGTTAACTAAATAAATAATTATGTAGAAAGCTACATATTTAATATTTATATATAAAAAAATATTCATAACTGGCGTAAGCCCAGTAGTGTAGTGAGACGGTTCGTGAAACTTCGGGGTACTTCGCGCATTCCTTTGACTCTGGCGCAAAAAACCGACAGCGATCGGAAGTCGCCCGAGGCGAAGCGAAGTTACACGAAGCGAATCGAAGTACTTCTCTACACTATTCGCCTCGTCCAACTTCAATCTACTTCGCGAAGAGTGTAGAGGAGGCATCATAAAAGCATAATGTGTGATATAAATACACTCAAATTTTTAGTAGTAGTAAAATAGTTTGCCTAATATTAATTTACATTGAAGCCAACAATGAGCGTGCGGCTCATTTATATTTAATTAGAACGCGAACATCAAAATTAATCTTAAAAATTTTTTTACGGTGCTTCTAATTTCTCATACAGGTTTTTTTTTCTTTTTTTTTTTTAGAAAAACGTTACCCCCACACTATGATTTTCTCCTGTGTCGTGGAGGCAGTTTACAAACATAAATTGCACAAGGACAAACATCCAGACCCGGTACAATTATTTGTAGGCCATACAAATACTTGTTCCGTGCGGGATTCGAACCCACGGCCCCCAGCGCAGCAAGTCATTGCTAAGCCAATACGCCACGGAGACGTCTCAGAGCCGTCAGGTATAGCCTTGTTAAATAAAAAAACTTCTAGACAATATTAATGGCGGTACAATACATCGCTAACGATATATCATTAACCTTATCGGCCACTGAAAAAACGCTCTTACTCTTTAAATAGAAAATATAGAAACAACGATACCGTGACATTATCGTATTTTACCAAGGACCTAAAATATTTCGGTATACATACATTTCATTTAAACTCACTGTTACCATAACAAGCAAAAACACAACTTCTAACATTCAGTAAACAAAACTGGATACTTATGCGTGCATACACAAAATCTAAAAAATACTATTTCCAAAACTAGTTTTTTTATAATATTTTATATTAAATCATATCGGTGGCGGTGTTGCCGAATCCATCCATTTCGTTCAGCGGATGTCATAAGAATATACCATGGGAAATATTAAAGACTTCATGACCCGACATATTATGGCGGTATACAAGCCCGTGTATGACAAATGTATCTATGTAAATGTAAGTGATATATAGAAACAATCTAGACTGGCGACGGGGAGCAGCATCAAAGGTGTGAGACAACTGGTAGGTACTGTGATGGCGATTATGACAAATCATTCCTAAGGCGGCTCTTTACGTTGACCAACATAGTGCGAATGTGTTGGCAAAGATATTAGCCAAGAGTTTGTGATGGCGTGTTGTAAGGTCCGTTCAGTTTGCTTCGGTTCATGCCAATGTGCGGACGAATTTATTAAAATGGATATTATATATATATCCACGTGAATGTGTATAAGAAAAAGGTGATCAAAAAGAAATGGAAAAAAGAAATTTTATTTCTTGGAATCTACAAACAATTTTCGGCTTGATACATTGAGATATAATGTATTACGTACTAGAGAAGACGCCTCAACTCGATTGTTTGTAACACGCGTTAGAGTGCGCGCTCTCAAACTCACTTAGTATGTGTCAAGCGGTTGTTGCAACGTGAGAAGTTATAGTGAAGAATTATTTTTAAATTAATATGCCTTCGTGTGCATTGAGATACTGTTCAAACTACTCGAGAAATATAAGGAAAAGTCAAGGAGTGAATTTTCACCAGTAATTTAAACATATTATTATCTTTAAAACACGCTTAATTTAATTATTTTTTACAACTGCAACGTATACGTGAATGTCAAAGAGTAAAACATTTTTATGCGCAGACTTGACACTATCGACGTATAATGTTAAGTAATTATGAACAGTAAAATATTTATATATAATCACTGTAGGAAATGTTAATGCATTAAAATTAATATTTTTTATTATTATTTTTATTTAATGGTTTCCTCGGCTGTGTCATGAAACAAAATAATCATGGATCAAATTTGTTCAGAAGAATTAGAGATTAGAGCCATGCTGCAGCTATATTATGGTTGTAGCACGAATGAGTCGGCTCGACCGGGGAAGGACCACGCTCTCACAGAATACCAGCGTGAAATAGCAGCTTAACGCTGCTGTGTTTCGTTTGGTGAGTGTAGAGAACCGGAGACCCTTTTTACTGGAAACGAGGCATTCCATCTTAGTCCTCACGGGTGACAACGCAACTGCATTTTAATTCTTAATCGAACATAGATGTAGATGTCTATGGGCCACAGCAAAAGAAACGTCCGATTATTTACGCATATTTTCCGTGCAGTTCAAAAAAAAATGACAAATACACCGCAAAAACAGGAAGAGTGTACTTCAAGAAATAAGCAGTACCATGCGACAATGTAATCATATAATTATATAACATTGCTGGGATTTTTGTTTTATTTTTTGATTAGACGACGAATGAATGTTTTGTAGTGTTCAGTATATTTACGGGACTTGCGAGAGGCGGAAACCTCGGCGCGCGAGTCATTCTAGTAAATGACGGTTTTTTAATACTGTAACACTAGAATTTTTGCAGGCTTCCCAAATAACTAGAATCTTTTTTTCAACCAACAAAATGTGGTGAACAGGAAGTATCAGAACCGTTGTCTGAATCAATAAGCAGTACAAATTCAATTTTAGATAGTCCGAGCAAAATTGTACTTAAAAATAAATTACGCAAGTGATGTCTCCTAAGCTAAGTTTGAGTGATATATACGAAGCCAAAGCTTTTAAATATAGTTCTACCTTAATAACGGAATCAATAATTCTAGGTTATTATAAAAAGAATAAAATATAAGCACGTTGTAATATTGCGTTTGTATTTAATAGCAAGGAATCTGCAGCTAGAAAGAAACTTACTGAGAAATTTAAGACAAAATATTTATCTAAAGAAAAAATGTGCTTCTTGCAAATCAATTGTAGAAAATTTGAAACATAAATTCGGTCTCAACTTAAATGCTGAGATTGATTTAATGGGTAAAGCAGAAGTTATGGAGTAACATAAATCTTTAACGAAAAAGAATAAACAGAGCACGCATTAATAATAATAATTAATTTATACACTGCATGCACCTTTACGTAAATTCGCATTGATTTTATACTATTATTCACCAGCTGCGTATAAATACGTTAGAGAATGCTAAAAAAGTAATAATAATTGTTCTTGGTATTAAGGTTCACTTTTGATTTTATAGGGATTTGTTAACAGAGAGACGTGTTTACTACTTGATGATTTATTTGCAACTGATTCAACAAATTATGATTTTAAATATTACACGGACTCACACATGCATACGCATTGACACTTACGCTCGCTCTTATATAGATCATTCTATCCGAACATACCGCCCACCAAAGGGCCTATAAGCCCTTTAATAAATTAATTATCAAACAGTATAATCGTTTGGTTACAATAGATTCAAAGATCAGTACAAAATTAGTTAAACAATACATAATATAGAATATGGATATACACAATTTGCCTTAGTTATAATAAAATAAATCATTATTCAATGTCTATTGGTAAATAACACAGCTTATTTACAGATCTTTGCACGACACTAGCACCACTCTTTACACTGTACACACGAGTGACACCGTCAGCACCCGGATGTTTTTTTACAATACGTCCCATCATCCATTTACCTGGGGGCAAACTATCTGATTTTACGAGGACAATTTGACCTATGTCAAATTCCTTGACCTTCCTCTGCCATTTTGGACACTGTTGCATTCTCAACAGGTATTCTTGTTGCCATCGACGCCAGAAGTCCGTCAACAATCTTTGTTGGTATTGCCATCTTGATAAGTGACTTGTTGGGATGTTTTGGAAGTCTGGTGTCGGAACCGTAATAGGCGTCTCACCGACAAGGAAATGGCCAGGCGTTAATGGTTGGATGTTGTCTGTGTCTGTGTCCCTTAATACGGTAAGCGGTCGTGAGTTGAGGCAAGCTTCAATCTGGCATAACAAGGTGCTCATTTCTTCGTAAGTTACGTGAGAGGTCATTATCCGTTTTAAATGGTTTTTCATCGATTTGATTCCCGCCTCCCACAGTCCACCCATGTGTGGGCTATAGGCGGGAATAAAATGCCATTCAGTCCCATCCATTGCTAGCGTCTCCGCAATCGGACCCTCAAGTTGAAGCCTGGCTTCAGCCCATTCTGCTGCGAGTATCCTGTTTGCCCCAACAAAGTTACGTCCTTGGTCACTCCAGACGTGAGCGCATCTTCCACGTCTAGCTACGAATCTTCTGAAGGCTCCGATGAAGGCATCTGAGGTAAGATCTCCCACTAATTCTAAGTGAATCGCTTTCGTCGACATACAGACAAAGAGAGCAATGTATGCTTTGTTTGTCCTTGCTCCTCTTCCTCTAGAGATCAAGATATGGAACGGGC